CAGGTTATTTTCTTTCCTCCCTAGCTCCCCTTTCAGACCGATACCGTAGAGCTAAACACTGTTAAACGCTGTTCTTCTCAAGGTCCAGTTGTTGACCTTCATTCCGGCTTATTGATATGTTCCTGTGAGCCAGAACATTTTTGGTTTTCCTCTCATTGCGATTTAAGTCTATTGATCTTTCCTCCGCTGTTTGTATAGTCATTGTTCAACCCACTTTTGCTTTGACTTTCCACATGAATCCTTATAATAGCTAGAAAGCATTCATCTGCGGGTTGGCCACATTGAGCTGAGGGCTGGAGGTTGTTTAACTTAGGTAGACAGCTGTGGGAGGAATAAGAGGCTTTTGTCAATACTTTCAAAAGAGACCTCGTTGGTTGAGGTCATAAAATATCTGCCGAGTCCAGGGTACACGCAGTCAACAGGGTAAACTGTGTGTGACTCCATGTACTAGCCAGTGCCCAACACTTACAAAAAACAGAATGTAAAATTCCACTGTATGAAGTCAAGCCCACATACTTTGTAGACATTGGCCTGAGCCAGGAATGAACATAAAAAGCCATGTTTGATGGATGTCATTCCTGATGAATAAACACACACTCACTGTTTGACAAGTACGACAGAAATAGCCAAACTGCTTGGGTAGTAGTGAGGACAGTAATCTCCTGATCTCACCCTCCACTGGGCCACTAGTGCACGTTGTCCATGTGGTCCAGATGGCACGGAGGGATATTTATCCCATCTGGCAAACCAGAGAAGCACATTGGCCAAGTAGATTACTTCACAGAGGCATTGATCTAGCGGCATACCTGAATACCACAACTGAGAGTGCGATGTATTAGGAAACGCATTTGAAATAAAAGAAAAAGAAGAAGAAGAAAAAGAGAGAGAGAGTGCAAAACTTGTCTTGACCAATGCCTGGACTCCAGAGGATCTGGAAAGCAGATGTAAGGTGAGAGAGTTTGGGCCTACGTTTACTAAAATGTGCAGTGTATCACAGTCTGGCTGATGATCCCCAAATGTAAAGCTGCAGCAAGAGCAGGGCAGGCGGTCTATGTCTGTGTGTGTAACATAGTGAGGCTAAGAGGATTAGCGAAACGCCTCTGCCTAGCCTGGATGCCCAGAGCTGTGGAAATCCTAATGTGACCACATCCCCCACCCAGGCCAAACCAACACCCCCTGGACTTGCCTCCGAAAAAAAAAAAAAAAAGAACTGAGCTTGATGTCAATCCATAATGGAATATTAGCTCTGAACCACCCACTCTTAGATTTCTGTGCAACTTTCCCTTGTCCAAAAATGGAAAAAAAATGACATCCATCCTTCACTAAAACACACAGTCCCTAGCAACAACAAAAAATAAACATAGTATTTATAAAACGGTCAGAGCTGCGAGGTTAATCATAATACACTCCAGAAGTGGTCTAGACAACGCATACAAAATTATTACATTAGCAATGGACCAATGCAAACATTCCAGAGAGCTGCAGGACTTCAATGCAAGTCCCAGGAAAAATGGGTGTTGAAACATGAAACATTTTTCTTTAAGCAGCAAAATCTATTTAGCTAATACAGACTTAGTGGTTGTTAGACCTTTGTTGAACCCACATATAAGTGGTCTGCTCACAAACAAAGGAATGCCTTTAGACACGGATCCATCATCACAAATGCCTGGCGGCCATCTCTTCCATACACTGCATAAAAAACAGCAGCTGGCACCAAGGCTAGGAACAGAAACTCCAGGTATGGGTCCAAGGGCAAGGGAGTGGGTGAGGAAGAAAAAAAAAGGTACTCGGAAAGTCTAGTTTCACACCTACAGTGTCGAGCTTTGATTGCAGTTTGAATAGACAACTGTCCTTGTCCCTGTTTAGCACAGGACAGATTTCTAGATAGAGATCACAACCGATGTCAGCTAACATTTGCTTTGCCTAATGTCGTGTTCCATTTGCCACAGTGGTTTCAATTCAAAACAAAATCCAAAGCTTTCCAGCTACACGTTGTGACATACAATCAAAACCTACATTACATAAAGTTATAGGAATTATAAGGCGACAGCAGCATGCCCACAGGCGCCAATTAGATACCACTGGTTGTATGAAAAGAGACAAATGAAAACATTGCCTTTAAACAGTAAAACCTGTCAAAACAATGTTTAACAGCCTTTGTTTACAACTCAGGGCTTTCTCTCCTGCAACATCCTGAAAAGTACCAAAAAAGACTGAAGTGTTTGCTATTATTTCTATTCCTGGAAAATCCCCTGTAGTTCAAACATTAAAAGAAGTTCCTTTGTTTGTAAGGCTAGCCGTTAGCAAGAACCTCACAGCAAGCCATTAATCTGACAGCTCACACTCGGATTATCTTTATATTTTCTAAAATGCTTCACTTGATTCGTTTTACATAATCCATCCAGCCTGTGCCAAGAGCAAAGTTAGCTAATGGTTGTTAGCAATGTTAGCATTTTCAAACATTTTCCATTAAATGGCAGTTATAACAGAAATAACTGTTCTTTCTTGGAACATCAGGTGAGGGATAATTAAGTTGTGCATTCATTCTTCAAAGTTTTTCAAAGTTCTATTATCTTCTCCAGTTAGCTCTAATATTTTCTTGAATGTCCAGTAAAAGCACAAACATAAAATAGTTGGAGTGGGATAGAAATATTGAAATGATGGTACACTATGGCTGTTATATTTAGTAGTACTAAATATAAAAACAAAACAGCTGTTGTGACAAGACTCTGAATTTGTTTTTTAAATTTGCTTCCATTCCAAGATCCATCCAAAATGTGCAAATAAGGTTGAAGGCTGTTTCATTTGACAGGAAACTTGCTGTCTAAAGAGTGTCAATCTGTGTGTGTACACGTGAATAAGTAAGAGCAGGGGGAGTGTGTCAAAGCTAGATGACTAACATGATGAAGGCTCCAGCTGTGTAAGCAGCTGCAACTCATCCCTGAACACAAGAGGGGAATCAGGGTGACAGAAATTCAAACACAGAGGGCCGGCCCCTGTGGTCCCATCACCCCTACATGGCTATACACACACGCTGAAGTGAACACACATGGACACACACACACATACACACATATGTAAGGGAACATGTTGGAAGAGAGAAAAATAGTTGCCGATACAGAAACAGTCTTCTGTGAAACAGCTCAACAAGTGAAACACAGAGAGATGTGACTAAATATTTGAGTAACTTCCAATGAATGATGATTGCTGTTTCAACAGACACCTAAACAATGCCTATATATAGAGCTGGGCTCCTGAGTTCACCACAGGGCCACCAGTTCAAGTCAATATCAGAAATGACTTCAGTCAGGGTTAAAGGCCAGTAATAACAATCACATATTGTATTAAAACACACCATGTTGTACAACTGACTTGTTGGTTTTAGCAAAACATGAAATGGACAACATTTTTGTTATATTCAGTATACAGATGAACCAAATGAGGAGATGAAGAAGATCTTTATGTTTTAACTACTTATATAACCTATATACACAAACATGATAATATTGAAGTGTGGGAACTGGGGGCTAGAACTAAGTTAAGGTGACCTCCAACGGGCAGAGCTGGAACCTCAAAGATAGGAGTTCTATGGGTTTAAATTATGTAAAATATAACATAAAATAAGACTTTATATGAACTTAAATAAGCGTTTTATACAGTCCTGTGTCTGAGGAGAAGGGCTTTAAAGACATTATGTCCTTGGGATTGAAGTGTGGAGAGTGGAAAGAAGTGTGTGTCGGTTCACCAATGAAAAAACTTTTTAAGGGGATTTTAAGGTGGTTAAAGTCAATTCACCCGTCCCTCTCTCTCTCTTATTTTATTCCTTTACTTCGTTCTCTCTCTCATATCATCTATCACAGCTCTGTAGACACAGCTCCACTTTGAAGTGCTGCCCTCTTATGTACAGCACCTCGGCTTCACTGAAGCAGGCCGTCTGCTGTTTCAGCAAGCAAGTTCACTCTGTTGTGCCATATTTCACGGTGAAGCGCTCACATGCTGCATTCACATCAGGAGCCATTTAACACCATGTGATGTACGGCTGTAACTCACACTGAACCGTGGGGGACTGTGAGAGTAGAACTGGAGACACGACGTGTGAACGAGGCTGAAGAGATGCCGCTCCAATTATTTTCACCAGCATTAAGTGGTCAGTATGGTCAGGACATTGTAAAAACAGTGCACGTGACCTGCAAGTTCAGATGGTCAGCTACCATCTGTCACCCCTTTGGATACCCACGAGAGAGAGAAAGAGTAAGACTGAGGGGGAGACGGGGGGGGGTGTTTAGGTTTGCGTTTGTGCATGTGAGGGGCCTTCACACAGTACAGTTTTTTGACCTACATTCTGCCCTCTATCAACTCTGGAGAAATCTGTGTTAATCAGTATTCAGCTGGTAAGCTGTCAGCAGCACGCCTCCAAAGCAGATCAGTGTGTCTTAAAGACTAGAAGCTCAGATTCTCACCTCTCTGACTCCAACCCATATTTTACCAGGAAATTTGATGGATTTTTTTTTTCAAAAGATAAAAATGGCCAAACATCTTGGTTTTATTAATGGGCTGTAGGTAAATTTACGTTGTTTCCCTCTGCTTCTATTTTTTTTTTTTTTTCATTTATATCTAAACCAAGACACTTTCAGCTGGTGATGGGGATGAGGATGAGGAGAATACTGTAGAACAACCCCAAAGAATAATTGTTTACAAAACACTATGGGCTAATGATTTAAACAGAAGCCATAATGAAACCTTTAGGTGTCAAGAAAACAATCTACTTCTTTATTTATTTAGGGCACCAATGTAGGAGTTTGACTCCTAAGTTTAATTTAATAGTTGCTTTAAATGTAAAGTTCCATTCCCAGAGTGGAGCGAGAGCCACGCATGACCGATGACTCATGTGTCAACAGTCTGTCTGAAGCTTTTTTTTATATCTAAAGGGCAATGACTGATCTAAAAGCAAATATATAAGTAGGTTTTGTTAACACTGTTGAATAGAAAATCTTTTTTACCTCTTGAGTTAGTGGCCATGTCTGCCACCTTTTGAAAGGCATCTAAAAAGGCCACTGCTGCCAGAATTGTGGTCCTGAAAATACACAAAAACATGTTCACTGAACCTCAGCTGCATAAGAGCGAGGCTGTAAAAACTGTAGTCACTCGGATTTCTGCACTTCTTTCTTACCTGAGTTGAGAGTGCAGTTTTGTGGCCTTGGCACTGAAATCTTCCCACACAGGGTATGAGCTCTGATCAGAGAAGGGAAGAGAAAAAGCAGTCAAACAAATATCTCTCCAAGGGCATTCAGAGCACAGACGTTGTTCTGCTCGAACACGGTGTACAAATCTGAAAACATAACACTCTCTCCTCAGGCTGATAAAATCAAATTGGTAAGGCACTGACTTATATTCGTACAAAGCTGCCGTAACTTAACAAACTTTTCTCTTTGGTTCCAGCCTGGTGTGTCTATTTACTGTCAGAGTTGTTTTAAAAAGTCGCTGTGATTTTTGCTGCACCCTTTTGTGATTGTTGTCCTTAATCCATCTGCAGGCCCTCTTCTGTTGTGTGAGTTTGCATGCTTGCGTGTCACTTTTACATGCATGACCTGCGTAAGCTCTCACGTCACAAACCTTTTCAGTTTGTAAAGTAGTATAAAATATATTTTTATCTAGATGAATTTTACACTGGGAAATCTCCTAATCTGCTGTGAACTACGGGACCAGAGCCAAATATATAAAACTAACTGAAGAACACACACCCACTGGCCAACTCATTAAGTACATCAACTCAGCCAAACACATGGCACTTCCACATGGTGACGGAGTGAACACAAGCTGCTGAAATGTAAACCGAGCACCAGAACGCAGTAGAAGAGTATTTTAAGTGACTTTATATGTGTCGGTTGTTGGTTCCAGACAGACTGATCTGAGTATTTAAGAAAGTGCTGATCGACTGGAATTTCTAGGCACAACTATCTTTAGGCCACAGAAAGTGGTGAGGAAGAAATAGAAAACATAACCAGTAAGTGGTGGTTCTCTGTGATACGTCCAAACTATGCTGTGTTTTCTTTGAAAAACAGTATATTTAAACATGAAAAACGTCTGTGTACTCCACTGCCATGGCCCCGGATCCGTTTTAATCTCCATTATATTATCTCTGGGGGCAAAGGCGGCCAACTGTAGAGATTGTAGATCCCAGGTTCAAATCCCTTCCCCTGTACTCAAACCCCAAACAGGAAGGTTGCATTAGGGAAGGCACTCAGTGTAAAAACTATGCTCCATCACTGTGAGGGCTCCAGCTTCTTCTCCTTCATCTATATTCATTATCCCTGCTGTCTGTGTTGACATGGTTAACATGGTCATCTACTGATGGTATTGGACAGAAAAAAAAATGTGTACTAAATACCAGACAACTGTGTTTCAAAGCAATGTCGCCATTTTTGGTTGCTGTCTTTTGAACGCAGCAAGTAAACAGGTAATGACGCCTGATTAAGATCAAATAATTAAAGTAAGTTTGTCTGAAGTCCAGAATCAATTCAAAATTTCCTTCTAAAAAATGTACATCCATCTCACAGAAATACTCATTTATAATTCTGTGCAGCATGTTAGAGATTACATACGCACCAAAAAACTGACTTAACACTAAAGTCACACAGTGACTGACATCAGTCCACTTGTTTTTGTCCTTTATGCACAGACACAATGCATATTAAGACTATTTTTCTTAAGCAGGACCTTGATGAAGACATGTCTCTAATCCTCCAATGCCTGTAATATCTTTCTTCTCATGGTAAAGTTGTACTTAAAAATGTTAGTTTCTGTGGGTTTAAAACAAACCAATGCATCTCTTGAATATTAATAAAGGATAGATGTCAACTTCATGTCATTTCATGCTGCTATGTTTCTCTGTAAAAAAGACTCTGAACTGATGATTAGGGATTTAATTTGTTATTTCATCGGCAAAACTATTTATTTCTATATTGGTAATGGTAATATTTCCTTATTACCATTTGTTTTAAATTTCAGAAGCATTTCATCACCATGACTGATAAATTGATATTTTTTACTTTTTACTGAATGATAACAAGTCATAATGAATTGGCCAGTAGGTGTTCGTTTGATTAGGAAAAAATTTAGACCAGAAAGAAAAAAGAAGTTGTATAAATCATGAGCCTTTTTGTGGATAGGGTCCGCTAAAAGCCATATATTCTGATAAATAGTAAGTATAGTAAATATATTTGCCGTACAGTCAGGAACAGTCTTGGTCACTTCTCCTAGAAACTCTACTAACACTGAGAGCTTTCAGCTCTGTTGTGATTACGGTTCCATCACTCCAGGATCTAAATGTTTTCCTTCAACCTCCCTGCTTCACTGTCTCTACTGGAGTAACAGGTGTCTAATTAGCTTGTGTGGCCTGTGACTCCCAGTGGCATGGATGGCAGGGTGGTGCTGCCAAGACAGCTGAGGCAGGAGGGTGTAGACGAAAGCAAAAGAGAACTACGTGTGGAGGAGCAGGAATAGAGGGGGGTGTTATTTCTTTTCTCCCACACCTAGCAACACCCAAAAAGCAATGAAAGGTGGGAAAGCAAGGAAGGAAGGAAGAGAGGAAGAAGGAGAGGAAGGGTCTTCCTTCCCCGCCTTGTCTGTCTCACCGGAGGGTCAGGTTAGCATTGTCTGGATGGAGGAAAGTGGTTTTCAAAGACTGGTTCTTGTATACAAGTCTGAAATCACATCGTCTGTTTTTAAGGTTTTTTCAAATCCCTATCTAAACATTTGTCTGTACCCAGTCGTTAAAGGCCTCCAGTGTCTGCTTGACATTTTGTTTGCAATGATATACTATTTGGGTAACTGTTACACCACTGACACTCAGTGATACTAGCACAGGAAAGCGATAACACCGTGTTGCCTCTGGGGGATAAAGCTGGTTCGACTGGCTTTCATTGTCCAACCACAGAGAAAAAAACGAGGTCAGATGTCCGTGAACATCAGACTGGGAACCTCAACACCGTGCTGACTCAGGGATTTAGCATCTTTCATGTGTGCAACACCATAGAGAACTATGGGAAACAAACTTTCCAAACTGAGAGTCTGTCACTGTGGCGTCTTTAGAAAGTGATCAATGAGAAATCAGTGACATGAAAACTGACGTGTGATTCCCACAGCAGACTTTGTTGAAGTGAGCATCCCCCATAATGGGAGGAAGGGGAGCTGCCTCCAGGCCTTATGAATACGTTCACACTTTCCATCTGTTGTTGTGAACAACAGACCACCCTGCTTCAACTTCCTCAAAGTAACCCTTCTCCACCACAAAAAAGAACACACACACACACAATAAAAGGTGTGTGGCTTATAATGAGAGAAAAGTTAAGGAAAAAGTAAGAGAAAATGTACAGATGGTGGAGGCCCTCCACAGGTCTCTCCTGTTGTAAAACAAAGGCTGACGTTCAGTAACCTTTAATGCCCGTTTCTCTCAGAGAGGTCTGGGTGAGGGAGACTGTTATCTTTCCTCAGCAGACTTCCACGTCTGATATTTGTTTGAGAAAGTGAAATGTCTTTTGTTATTTTATCAAATAAGAGGGGAGAAAAAGGCATCACTTGACTTTTTGAAGATGTTTTCTTTTACTTTTATATCTGCAACCACCATAAATGGCCAACATGATTAAAATTCTTCTGACCCCAAAGAAATGTTTAGGTTTTTGCCCATTTTCTGAAACTAGACAATTCCCTACAATGATTACACTAATGATAACACTTCATCATGAGAAAGATTTTTGACTTAAAAAATAAAAACATTCTATTCTCAGATCTATTTCTTAAAAAAACATTTGTGACAACCATGGAACGTATGGAAGAATTGGATTCATTTTTAAGCAAATATGAAGACATTTATATATGTGAGGGATAATGGGTGTATAAAAAATAAACAAAAGAATTCATGCAATCAATCCTCGGACCACATGGGGGTGTGAGCCTCCTGTTGAAGACCTCTGGTTTATGCTGTGACTTCTCAATCACTAATATTGTACTGTATTGCACTACTGTACACCAAACTAGTCACCAATTGGATAATCAAGCTATCAATCACACACTGTTCCATTATATTAGCCCTATTAACCAACATTGACTTTCTGCTCACCAGAAGACTTGGAATTAACAAACTCAACAAACTGACACCATGGGACTGTAAAGAAATACTATAAACATGCTAAAGTGCTAATAGAAATAGCCAAAAATACATAAACAAATGTAAACACAGGTCCCGTCAAATGGTCCTGCCCCAGTGTTTGAGAAACAGTGCTTTAAGGTCAAGCAGTGGGTGCTGAGCTAAGGTTGACATCCCAAACTAAAAACTCCTAATTGTGCTTTACAGGTTAATTAAAAAGGGGGTGGGGGGACTGGGGTAATGTGGCATTATAGCAGAGTCAGGCAAAAAAGGAAAACACAAAGAGAAACATGTTCATCCCTCAGCTTGTCCTGTAGCGGCTTCCCCGGTGGGGGGAGGACTCCGGCAAAGAGACAAAGGCAGTAAAAACATGCGAAAGGTAAAACAGAAAACAAACACTAAGGTCCTACCAACCCCAACGGCTGCTTTTGAATGGATATTTGTGGACGCGTTACCTTCATGTCGTTCACGATGGACTGGAATAATCCACCCAACGCTCCACACTCCTTCTCCACGGACTCCATGGTGCCGAACACAAACCAAACACGCTCGTAGAGACAGGGAGAGAGAGAGAGAGAGAGAGCAGGGAGCAACGCCAGAGCCGGGTTAAATGTCCGACAGCATGGGCCTTATAAACACACCAGGCATGGAGATGCGTTCACTGCCTCCGTTGTTGTCTGCTAATGACAACAATGTAGCCTGAAGCGGAGAGGATGCAGAGCCGCTGATCACAACAGAAGCAGCAGATAAAAAAAAGAAAAGAAAAGAAATGTGCTGCTGCTGCTGCTGCTGCTGCCCACTGGAGCCGGCCGGGGCCACTGCTCTCTTCTTTTTCACACCGACTCTACCTCACTGCCTCCAGGGTCTGGATACAGGCAGGGTCTCGCTCACAGCCGGGAAATGTGCAGGGCACCGTGGCTTCTCATGATCACCGCGGTTAACACAAAATAGCAGACACTACAGCTTTGGGGGAGAGGGCAGAAAGAGGAGGGGTAAAAGAGGAAGAGGAGGAGTAGGCACCGCGGGAGAGATCGGTGGCAGGTCTGTGACGCGCGGACGCGCTCAGTTGTTGCGTTGGAGCAGATGTCTGGATGCTTGAGTCCCGGGTAATACGATCCATGGGAATGGAAGGGAAGGGGGGCTGGTCAAGCTTTTTTTTTTCTTTGCATATAGTAGATGAAGAGGAGGAGGAGGAGAAATGGAGCTCCTCCTCTCCGTCTCCTACTCCTCCCCTCCTTCCAACCCCATGCAAACAAAAGTGAAGCCTGTTCTATGGAACAATTGACTGAAATGCAAGTGAGGATTTCCTGCCGTGTTCCTTATGTTTATCCACACACGCGTCTGTTAATGATCGTTAGCGCTTCTTTGAATGGAGTCTTCGCGTAGTTGTTTACAGGAAACAGTAGCATGTGGCTCACAGATTAGTCGACCGTCACGATCCACACATGAGCTGCGAATGTGGATTCAAAATAGAACCGATTCATCCCAGAGGAAGTGTGACATCTTCCCACTAATGTGACACAGGAGTACGTTAACGCACAGTACTACTATACTAATACTGGTGCTAAACACGAGCTTTGTAAATTCATTTTTAGTAATTTAATTTATTTAGTAATTTATTTTTAATAAATAAATAAACAAATATATAAATTCTAATGTAAACGTCTTGTTTAAAACATGGTTTCACCTAAACTAAATATTGGGAATTTCCATTCAGACATTCATTTGTTTTGTTTTTTTCTAAGTTTCCATACTTCAGTAACGTTAAGTCAGGTCCAGATTCTTGAACAGTATTACCTTGAATACTGTCAGTACCACCACAAAAGACTCAAGGCTCATTTCCAAAAACTATAAAAGACTGCATCACACCAAGACCAACAGCATTAATCAAAGACATTGGTTCATACATTTAATTCACATTTGGTGATTTGAAGAAGTTTAGGTTTAGGATTTATAGTTTTACAAGAGACACTTGAGTGGGGCCTTGAAAATTTGGTCAAATATCAACATGTCTGGTCACATGGTGTAAGAGTTGTTTGTGATCTTGTCTACTGTAAGATCAGCAACCAGCTGAAACTGACTTCATGTAGTTAGTGTGCACCTGTGTGCAGATTAGCTCAAGTGGACACTCTCTGTTAAAGTGAATCTGAATAGTTGTTTGTCTCCGCACTTAGCTCTACAATGGACAGTCCAACTGTCTGTGGTGTATCTTCGCACTTGTGCTATGTTAGCTTTAGCTCTTCTTACATCCCTCAGATGGATGAAGCAGAAGATGAGGATTACAGTATCTGTGATAATGTCGGACGTGTATTCTGAGTACTGGTATTAGGAGACGTTATTCCAAAGTACACTCATTAAATTTTCATCAGTAAAAACCTCACAACCAATAATTAACTTTGAATTTCCATGATTGTGTCAGAAAAATAAAAATCATAAAAATTCTTCGTTTTCCAGGCCTGGTTAAGAGGCCAATGGAGGATAATGTGTTTCAACCGTACTATCATGGTTTGTTATGGAGAAACCATGGGAGACTGGGGTCACACAACAGCATTCCTGATAAACATCCTGCCAGTTTACAACCCTGCACATCTGCACAGCACACCTCTCTCACCCGTCCATCTGTTTGAGGAGTGTATCCAACCACAGTTTCCACAGAGGGCACTCCTGCAGACAGACCCAGCCTTGAAGAGGAAACAAAGGTCTGCGCCATTCAGTGAGTGAGTATTTTTTTATGCTCCATTTACCACATCATTTTCATATTTACACATTGAACCACGTTAGCAAAGTACTACTAAAAACCAAGTAGAACTTGTTTTGTAACAGGTAGTAATGTCCTTTAGGTGCCCTGCACATAAAGGGAGTAGATATGTACTATACAACAAGTCACTGAAATCACATAAAGATGCTACAGTTAAACTGTTTTTGTTTTTGTTTTTTTAATTATTTAACTCGTTTTGTTGTGGACAGATACAAGGTTTGGAGAGACTGGGACAAAAGCCCTGTCTGTGTCCTCCCACTGCAGGTCTAAGTTCAAGACTTTCCTTTATTCAGCAAAAATTGGTTTAAGTGAGGGGGGGAAATGCCATGGCTTCTGTTTCTCCTCAGCCTATCATAAGGCTGCACGACTGTAAGCAATCATCGACCCAAAATACAAGGAGATGGAAACACCCACACTGTTGGCTTATGTAACAGTCTTCAAGGGCTGTAACTTCCCAGTACTTTTTCATTCATCTGTGTGTGTGATAATGCCTGTTTATTTTATAGACTTGACAGTAGCTGTGTATTTAAACTCACATCAGTCACTGAATAGTAAAATAATCATTTCTTTAGCAGGGAAGCTAAACATTTTCTCAGTTTGCATTTGAAATCTGGACGATGTAATAATATGATTTAACTCTCCTTACGTAAGACAATTAGGTTCAATCACTTACCTGTTTATTTTCCTTTAAACTAGTCACATTTCCTCTAGGTAACATCGAAGGCTCCATTTAACCTCCAGCCAGCTGCATGAGCAGCTCCCATAAAAATACACACTGTGCTCCTGATATATGGTCACCTTTCACCTCAGACCCAGGACCTTCCCATGATTCAGCTGGGGCTCCTGCCTCGCTCTCCCAGTGAGGGATAGCATTCAGGAAGCTCTGACCTCACCAAAAAGTCACTGCAAAGGTCACTGCAGGTCTGAAGCCCACTTGACCATGTAATCAATCAGTTGTTGCCATCGGGGTATTAGCATGGAAATACTGTTATACAACATCCTGAAAAACTGTGTAGATACATATACACACACCCATATAAAATATATTATGATTATTTATATATTTGAAATATGAAAAAATATATTATATGTGTATATAATATATATATATAAATATATATTACATATAAATATATTATATAAATATATATATATTATATATAAAATATATTACATATGTATATAATAGTGGCGCTTTGGCCCAGAGGCAATGTCTCTGTCATTGACCTGGAACCCCAGGGTTCACCTCCTGGGCAAGATCGAATCCCTGTTAGGGCGGTTGGTACCTTCCGTCATAGAGACTGCTGCCCCAGCGACCCGTTAACAGCTAAGCAGATGAAAATTGATGAATGGATGGATGTATATAATATAAATATATATTATACATTTATATAATATATTATATATATAATATAAAATGTATTATAGAAATATATAATTATATATTTGTATATGTTTATAGCTGTATATATGTCTCCATATGTATACACAAATACATAGGTCACACCAAAAACAGAATAATTCTACACAGAAATGTTTAGTGTTACTGATTTTGAGCTTGCAAAAAGAAAATCAGAAAAATGAGAATTGCACAATATGTCTGAAAAAGAAATATGGATTAAATGACACTCCGTCACCAGTGGGATCAAGTTTAAACCATAAATTCAAGCTGCACTTGTGCATGTGAGGAAACTACAAACTACAAACAGCTGCCTTTGAAGCTCACACAGAGTGAGTGTTTGTTGGAAGATGAGGGCTTATTTTTATAGGCCACTGCTGCTGCTTTCCTAACAGATGTATTTAAAAACAACTACATATGCGGCCAGACCTGAGGTCGGTCATTTTACTCCTGGTGGTAAACCCCTCAGTGGGCTCCATGTGAGCCTGTGGAATTTGCTCTATCAACTGCTGATCTAGCTAACACGTGTACTTTTGTGTACATTTTTCACCAATCTGATGAAGATAGCTGTGATAGGCCGGGACATGTGGATGGACGGGAAAAGACCAGTGGAGAACGACAGTAAGACAGAGTACTCTGCCTTTGTATGTCAGGCCTCGTGACTCGCTTTACTGGGAATTCTGCCTGACCTTCCGTGTACCTGATCCCTGAGCCTCTCAAACAAACTCAGGGACACTGCGGCAGGAAAGCTTTATGTGCAAGTTTTGATACGGAAACAGACGAAACGGGCAAAACTAAGCCAGCGAGCTCGGAAAATATTGAAGCATTATTTCCTGTCTTTGTGAATGTGAGAACATTTGTTGGCTTCGCGTACAGGTTTCTCGCACCTGTTGATGCTCGTGCTGAGATCGTCTCTGCTCTCATCCTGAATCTGTCGACTGTATGATAAAAACACAGACAGCAGCAGCATCAAAACAAGTGGAGCTCTCACATTATGGTGAACATGGAGCACAAAGTTACACATCAATGACATCTGTCTAAAAAGTTGCCAAAGAGGAGTGAATTCAGCCGTTGGACAGATTCTTTGTCTTTGTTTGTATGAACGGCTCCTCTGTTTGTTTATGTGCTGTTTGGTAAGGACATGATGGAGATAAATATTTAGAGAATAAACACTGGTGATGGAAGGCGGCTGTGCTGAGTTACATAAAAACAATGACCTAGGATGGAACGAGAGGACTTTGCACTCTGCAGAGACAGTGTTCCCTGTCGCCCGTCCATCTGTGAGATCAATCGTTCTTAAATATAACATTTTCAACCTGAAAGTTCCATAAATGCACCAATCTCTCCAGTGCTCACACTAAAATTAGCATCCCAGTTTAGGAATGTCAGGAGAGACAGTGTTGATCCTTTCGGCGTGGTGAGACTCACAGTGATGAGTCCTTCCCGGAGCAGATAAAATAAACACAGATACAGCACACATTCCATTAAGAGAAAAAAGAGTGACCCTGGTCGGATCACTATCTGGGCATCACTGCCATTCCATTCCAAGAACTCCCTCCTGTGTCAGTGTCAGCCTTTAGAGTTTGGATGTTGTGTGTGTGTGTGTGCTGGGATTTCAACCGTGCATGCCAGGCATATCTGTGTATATGGACACAGACACGTGAAGTTGTAAGTGTGCGTGCGCATGATGGAAGTATGCTGCTTAAATCCAGCTCTCTCCGAAAATAAACTGCAGGGTCGGAAAACAAGACAGAGAAAACGGAGTCTTTCCATCTGATCCTGCTGCCATGAGGAGAGGGGAGCAGGGGGAGGGAGGGGGAGGGGGAGGTGGGCTAGAAAATGTGTTTATGTGCTTTCCCACTCTGTTTTCCTGTCTGCTGCAGGAACAGAACTCTCTGACTTTTGAGTGAACTATCCTGCAAAACCCCAGTTGTGTGTGTGTGTGTGTGTGTGTGTGTGTGTGTGAGAGCTTTAGCTTTAAACCATCACTGTGAGGACATCACAGAGCTTATAGTAGTTCCTCACAACTTCAAAGAGCACCGGCAGGGCTGAGACCTGGTTGCAGGGTTGACATTATGGGATTAGGCCAGAGTTAGTGAAAAGGCTGGGTGTTAGACGGGAGCTCAGAGTCAAGGTTGGGGAGAGCGGCTAAAGAATGCATTATGACTACACTGAGAGGTGAAGTGTGTACCTTTGGTTCTGGAGAATGTTTAAAGGCTAGTCCATAATTTAGGTGATAGGTGTTCACAGAGAATATATTAAAGTGATGGCATTTGGCTTAAAGGCCAAACTATTTTTTCTTTGTTGAAAACTTTGATTTGAGTTTTAATTGTATTAAAACAATTAATGATTCATTTCACCCTGAAACAATAATGTGTTTGTTTTGTAGAAAAAAACAACTCAAAACAGGATTATAGTTTGAAAATAGCAGAAAAAAACAAATATCCATTTACTTGATATTTAAAATTCACAGCAATAAATGAAAGCGAAACATCCAGTTCCTACTAATGATTAGTTATTATGTATGTTTGTAAATTCTTTCATATTTAGTCAATAAAATCAGGATGAAAGATCGTCACAGAATCAACGTGTTCAGACAAACAACAATTCCCACTCACATATCTTATGTTAAAGGGACATTTTCACAGTTTCTGTTTCTTGACTTCGAGCTCAACTTTAAAGGCTTTTATTGGGGCCAACACTCGGTGTTAGGGTGAGTATTATGGGATTACACTGGTGTTATTGGAGGGGCTGAGGTTCTGGACTGAATCAAGAGGGTTAGGGTTGGTCAGAGAGAGAGAGAGAGAGAATGTCCTTGCGTGTATTCATTTCCTACTGCTAAGACAATCATCGGTCTTTTTAAGACCTCCTCTAGTCCCCATGTAGACTACAGCCCAGTCCTAAAGAGTGAAAACCGAATCTTTTAGACTGAGGTTAAAGTTAGAACACATGGACCCATGCGGGGCCGCCAGGGGGCGCAAGGGGGTCCTCAGAAAATTGGAAGGAAGATTAAAATAAATGTAGTAAACAAATTGAATTAGTACTTTTTATTTAAAATTTTTATAACCATGTGTCACAAACCATACGACACGTTAACTGCCGTAATTGTCAGATTTTCAAGTTTCCGGTTCTACCTAAATGCACCTCGGACACAAACACACGAGATTCGATTTGTTTTGTTGTGTCAACAGTTTTTTGAAAAGTTCATTATTCAGTGGTGAAAATATGTTTGTTTATCATCGTTCTTAAGTTCAACAAATGTAAAACTTATTGAAAAGTGAATAAAGGTTGGGAAATACACTGTAAAAAAGTTCTTTATTTATTTCGTAGCACTGTCTGTGGGTTTAAATAGAGGGTCACCGGCCATAAAAAATTATTGAATGAGTGTGTGTGCGTCAGTAGTGCATGTACGTGTGTGTGTAGAGGACAGGATATTAATTGGTGTGGAGGAGCTCTGGACCAGGAAGGAAGCTCATGCTCGGGAGGGAGTTGTCTTTGGGAGTCAAGGATCTGGAGGTCACCAGAGACAAGCTTGTTAAATTCAACACCCGTCAGTAGAGAATGTACAGCATGTGGAGGAATGAGCAGAATTTAGAAGCAAGCAGAATCGGCCGTAATGTTTCATCCTTTTTTTTCCACTGTCTCTATGATCGCATGGCTGGGGTAAAATGAGATTATCAGATTTAATCCACTCTTCATCCCAACTCTCTTCTCCAATGACCAGGTTTACTTCACGAAAAAACTGTACCAAATATCTTTAGAGCAAATGTGAATGAATCATAAAAACAGGAAAAATCAGAAAGAATACGTTACCATGCTAATCAATGTCTGTGGTCAGCCTTCACACTGGCTTATTATATAGTTATAGTTAAAGAACAGGGAAAACGCAAGGTCATAACTTATTCTCATACTGTGAAGTATGAAGCAAAGTCTAGTCTACAGAGAGTAGACGTTGGAATCTGACACAGAAGACTGGCTCTAGCTTCAAACGATGCCATCTAGTGTTCGTTTGTATGTACATCATCAAAACGAAACGCTCTTTTTCTCCTCTTTGAACGGAAGATATAATAAAATTTAAATTATATTATGGATACCGAATTATTAATACCAATATTTCAACAAAAAATATCTTCATTTTAGGTTTCAGTTCTACAGCGTTCATATTGAGCCAAAGTCCATCATCTGTCGAAATCAGCAAAGATACTTTCTTTTTTAATCGAAATTTTTACTGAGTGCTTGTGGAAATATCAGCAGATTAACAAAAGGCTCAGGAAAATCTGTTCTCATCAAATCCCTGGTGAGACCAACAAGGTCACAGCAGCCACTCAGACTAAACAGGCACACACACATAAGGACACATTTCAGTTAGGGAAGACAGGGTAGTTATGTCACAGATTTATGTCACAAATGGTCAGTAATGCCCAAAACAAAGGTACAAATAGGAAACCAATGGAATTGTATGCTCCTAGATTTCCTAAACCTAACCAAAAAAATACAGCCCATTAAAATATATTTCTTTCGATGACTTACAATCTGAGTAGAATCAGACTGTTATAAATGAGTACGTTAAGAATCGTC